ATGCTTTAAATGCATGGTACGGTATTTTTGGTTTTACCTGACCGCAGAGGGAGGAAGTAATGGACTCTGCCCTGGACGGTGCTCCCTCGTGGTGTTGTGCCATCATATATTCCTGCACGTCAGCCATCAGGACCGTCAGGGGTACTGGCTGAGGTAAAAATTCCAGCCGGGTTCTCAGCTCCCTTTGGTATGGGGTTTCTTCCCTGGCTGGTGGGGGTGTGCTGCTGTGCGCTCGGTCGCCCTCCATCAGTTCAGCGATCAGCACGGCTTTAGATTTATTGCTAGCACTCCCTCTCGCTTCCAGCAGTTCCTTAAGTGTCTGCCTTTTCAATGTAGTGTAGTCAGTCTCCATTCACTGATCTCTTTCGTCTGTTTGCTGCATACGAATTGCCATTCCCTTTTTAGTTTGGCTGTTTCTTTTCATCCGAATGCGCTTTTCGGCTGTAAGGTTGGATCCAGTCGCTTGCCACCAATTGTAGCGGAGCGGCAATAATAAATCCCACGAACTCCGTTGGTTCAGAAGGTAATCCACAGTCAAGCGCTGAAAAGCAAGCTAATATCCCAAATATCCCAGTAACCGGACGAAACACAGTTCTGAGAGTCAACTGAAGGCTTTATTCAGAGGCTCCACAATTTATACAATTCCCCATGCAAGGGGTTTCCTGAGTCCTATCCCAGGGGTATTCCAGGGGTGGACTACGTGGGGAACTTACAGTACAGAGCATTTCTCCAATCAGGCACTGCTGCACGAGAGGGATCCTCCCACTGGAATGTACCGTTAAGTGGATCCCTACGTGCAGCAGAACCGGCAATTTACTTTAAAATATATAGTTTTTCGAATATTAGGTCTATTTGCACGAATGGACGTTCGGTAGATAGCTGGGGTCTGAGCGCATAATTCGTGAGATTACCGCTCAGATCCCAGCTAAAACAACCGAACGCCGCACGAAAAACATATTTATTAAAACACACACTTAAAAGACCGATTGATATATGGGTAATAAAATACCGAACAGCCTGGAACTCCAAACAGCCTGGAAGTCCAGGGGTGTTCGCGCCGTCGAATAGCCGTTTTTAGTACCACGCGCTCGACGACCAAACACCGCTGGAGGAACAAAGGATCCAAGATGGCCGACCGCCGCATGGTCGGTAGTCGAACGACGGCCACCTAGGAGAGCCTCTAATTACCGATCGGTTAACGAGCGCCACACGTCTCTCAATGTGTGGGCTATTACAGGGTGGTTTATTCGGTTCGTGAACGGCCCGCAAAGGCGCTGTTCGTGAAACGAAAGGAAATCAGCTATCTGCTTTCGGCAGATAGCCAATGCAAGTAATACAGCGTTAATCAATCACAGTCTATACACACAGAAACATACGCATCCTCAAAACAGTACAGGCAACCCTTAAAGCTATAGTCCTTAAGTAATGTCCAAGTGGCTAGGTTTGCCACAAAGGCTTATAAAGCCTTGCCCCGCCCTGCAATTAGGATAAGAACACTCTGATTGGTTGGTTTAAGCCAATCAGAGTGCTCTGTGCCATTTTACACAGCGTGGGAAAATTCCAAAGAATTTTCCCACGCTGTGTAAAATTACTCATAACACTGATTGGATGGCTTGAAATCCAGCCAATCAGCGTAGGAAAGGTCTTTGGAATTTTCCCACGCTGTGTAATTTTGACTCATAACTCTCTGATTGGTTACTTAATCCACCAATCAGAGTGTTATGAGTCAAATTACACAGCGTGGGAAAATTCAAAAGAACTTTCCAACCCTGTGTAAAATGACACAGAGCACTCTGACTGGTGGATGTCAAGCTAACCAATCAGAGTGCTGTGACAGGTAAATGTAGAGACTTACTTGTCAGTTTCTTCATTTACCTGTCAGAGCACTCTGATTGGATGGTTTAAACTCACCAAACAGAGTGCTCTGAGCCTAATTGCAGGGCGGGGCAAGGCTTTATAAGTAGTCCCCTGCCCTGCAGAGCCCTCCATGGGTGAAGATGGATTTATTTATTTTTTGCGCTCTGGTTTTTTTTTTTTTTAATTGCGATGGTCATTATGGATTTTTATTTGGCCTTTTTTGGGGGCTGAAAAAAGAAGATTTTAGAAAAAAGAAGACATCAAATGGTAAGTTTTCTTTTTTTTCTTTTACAGGTACTTAGTTATTGGTCCCCCCTCATTATGTTTAGGGTGAGGGGGGTAGGTAGGGGTTCCTTTTTTGGGGGGAGGGGGGTGACTAGGGGTTTGTGGATCCCTAGTCACCTGGGGGGAGGGTTAGATTTTTATTTAGGGCCCCCACCCGCCACTCAGGGGTGGGGGCCAGGGGGGAGGACAATAGGTCACCCCCTTATTGTAATTTAGGGCCCCCATCCACCGCTCAGGGGTGGGGGCCAGGGGGGAGGACATTAGGTCCCCCCTCCTATTCTAATTTAGGGTCCCCACCCACCGCTCAGGGGTGTGGGCCAGGGGGGAGGACATTAGGTCCCCCCCTTATTCTAATTTAGGGCCCCCACCCACCACTCAGGGGTGGGGGCCGGGGGGAGGACATTAGGCCCCCTTATTCTAATTTAGGGCCCCCAGGCACTGCTCAGGGGTGGGGGTCAGGGGTGAGAACATTAGGTCCCCCCCTTATAGTTATATAGAGCCCCCACCTACCGCTCAGGGGTGGGGGCCAGGGGGAGGAAATTAGCTCCCCCCTTTATTCTAATTAGGGCCTCCACCTGCCGCTTAGGGGTGGGGGCCAGGGGGGAGGACATTAGGTCACCCCCCTTATTGTAATTTAGGGCCCCCACCCACCGCACAGGGGTGGGGGCCATGGGGGAGGACATTAGGTCCCCCCTTCTTCTAATTTAGGGTCCCCACCCACCGCTCAGGGGTGGGGTCTAGGGGGGAGGACATAAGGTCCTTCCCTTATTCTAATTTAGGGCCCCCACCCACTGCTCAGGGGTGGGGGCCAGGGGGGAGGACATTAGGTCCCCCCCTTATTGGTATATAGAGCCCCCACCTACCGCTCAGGGGTGGGGGCCAGGGGGAGGACATTAGCTCCCCCCTTTATTCTAATTTAGGGCCTCCACCCACCACTCAGGGGTGGGGGTCAGGGGGGAGGACATTAGGTCCCCCCCCTTATTGGTGTTTAGGGCCCCCACCCGCCGCTAAGGGGTGGGGGCCAGGGGGGATGACATTAGGTCCCCCCCTTCTTCTAATTTAGGGTCCCCACCCACCGCTCAGGGGTGGGGGTTAGGGGGGAGGACATAAGGTCCTCCCCTTATAGTAATTTAGGGCCCCCACCCACCGCTCAGGGGTGGGGGCCAGGGGGGAGGACATTAGGTCCCCCCCTTATTGGTATATAGGGCCCCCACTCAGGGGTGGGGGCCAGGGGGAAGGAGTAGTGAGTAGGTGCATAATTTGCTAATACTAAGTAATCCTTACTTAGTATTAGTAAATGTGGTTGAAAGACCAATTCAGGTCTTTCAGCCTTTTAGTAGATAGCTCCCTAATACCGTGGGAATTAGGGAGTTATCTACTTATTCATTCCTTTCATTCCATTGACTGGCTAAGTAACTTACATTTTATATGAATGTGTGTTATTTGATTGTTGTAAGTGTTGCAAATGCTTACAGCTGAATCCTGGCTATGTTTGTATACTTTTTAGTCTTAGATAGGATCAGGGAAGCAGGCTTAATACTCAAGTCTAACAAATGTAATATAGGGATGGCCGAGGTACAAAACCTTGGTCACAGAGTAGAATGTGGGCAACAGAAGCCTGAGTCAGCTAAAATTGAGGCAGCGGCCCAGTGGCCTACCCCCAGGACAAAGATCCAGGTGTTAACCTTCTTAGGGACAGCCAAGTATTGTAGAAAGTTTGTTCCTAACTACAGTGCCCTGGCCAAGCCCCTTACTGACCTCACCCATAAGAACCTTCCCAGGCAGGTAGTCTGGGCCCACAGAGTGTGAGCAGGCATTCCAACATTTGAAAAACACACCCTTGTAAATGCTTCTGTCTTGGCAGCTCCCAATCCAACTAAACATTTTCTTGTTTACACAGATGCTTCTATGTTTGGATTGAGCCCAGTACTGAACCAAGTCGACCCCAATGGCAGAGAACATCCCATGGCTTACATCAGCTGAAAGCTTCTACCCAGAGAAGTAAGCTACACTGCCATTGAGAAGGAACGCCTGGCCGTGGTGTGGGCCCTGAAAAAGTTACACCTTTATTTGCACAGACAACCATTCTTTTTGCTCACGAATCACAACCTGTTGGTCTGGCTAAACTGAGTGGTGGGGTGTGGCGGAACAAGCCTCTCCACTAGGCATTGGAGAAGACTGATTGCCAGCCTCCTGCCATGTGACTATGGCCCCTGGGATGTATTGCCCTTTAAGGAACTGATTTGGGGCTTATGGACTTGTATTGGACGGTGTATGGCCCTTTAAGAACTGTATTTGGGCATAATGGATTTTTATTGTGCTGCTGCTGGCCCTTTAACTCCCAGGGAAAGGATCTGTACTTTTAAACTGGCACTTCGAATGCAGTCGAAGTGCAGAAGTAGTCGAAGTGGCTGCCATTCGAAAACCGAACACGTGGCGGCAGCCATTTTGATTTATTCGAATGCAGTCAGCGGTGTGTGCCGTCAAACTCATGGAACTAAAACTGGTTACAGAACGGCACGAACACTGCTGAAGTTTTACCTTCCCTGGAACTAATGCATTCGACAGTTCATTTGACAATTCGAATGGTTGTCGTTCGTTTGTTTGAACTGACTTTAACATGGGAAATAGACCGGCCGCACAGCCTGATTCTCTGGAACTGTTTTGTGCATGAAAATGTGCTTGCGGTCGGTCATAAAAGGACTTCCAGCTAACTTTTTAACCCCTGGATGGAATTGGTTGAATTTTGACTATGTTTATAATTAAAGTGTACTGAATAATAATCATTTTTATGAAGATTGAATGTATATTTTTAAAGTTATAGTACATATGAAAAAACTGTATTTCTCTGCCTGTGATAATTACATTAACCCATTGTGTTCAGTAATTATATCACAGGCAGAGGGGAGGATTTTGTGTGGGAGTGTCTGAGTGTATTGTACGTATTGATTGGTTGTACTTCAAAACCCTGTGGGCGGTACTATGGTTGTAGAATGGGCATAAAAGCAGAGTGTTTGATTAAAAGCTTTAGTTCTACTTCACTATCAGTTTGGAGTGCCGTCTCTTATCGGGGGAACCTGTTACAAGGGGTTGCTATGCTAGTCATACTCTCTTGCTATATTCACTGCTAAGCTCTTGTAAGAGCTTGTTCCTGTTTTTGCTCTCTGAAGGAGTCTACGGTGGTTATGGTGTCTGCTGGAGTGCTGGAAACCATCAGGAAGCGCTAGGAGCATCCTTCAACGGAGGTTCCCAGTTCGGGTGCCCGTCGATCCGTTACATGGGGGACAATGCCAGGCTGCTGTTTGGCGCTGCAGCCCTTTGATTTCACAATATACTTCCACCCCAGAAAACTAAAAGAGAAATGCCAATGGGTTGTCCAGACAGACTGTACTTGAAAAATGATCCGTGAGCACCTCTGGACATCCCCAAGACGATCTGTCGGGATCATACTGTATATGCCAGCTTGTGGTTATGGGGGAGTATTGTATTAAGTTGTCCGTAGCCCCCTTGTTCGTTTCCCGATTGGATGATGTGTGGTCCCCCTTTTATACCTCTCCAAACACCGACCACCCCTGGCTGTTTACCACAATCAATTAACTCTGTTCGGTTGTCCATATAGGCTGCTTGAGGCAGGTACCGTCCCTGGGGATTGCTGTGGACATCCTTTGGGGACAATGGCGGGTTTGGCGGGCTATCTGCACCTGGAGAACAAAGAGGCAGGGGGTTTCCCGTGCGGGTCTTCCCAAGTACAGAGGCTTATGGGATGAAGACACTGAGTGGCGGGGCTTTCCATGCTTCTCCCAAGCTTTGGCTCCCAGGCATGAAGGATCCTAGGAAGAAGAACCCCTGTTCTCGGACGTGGGAAACCCTGTGTTTGGGTGGTGGGAACAAGGGGCAAAGGGACCAGAGCTGGGATCCTTGGGAGGGGGAGGATCTTTGTGTGGTGTCCTCCCCTTGCATGGGGAAAAGTATAAAGCCGAGTGTGGCCAATAAAGTTGTTGTTGTACCCCCGGGAACTGTGTGTCGTCCAGTTACTGTGGGAAGAATGGGTCTCCACGTATGTTAACCAGTTCCATTCCAGGTGAACGCCATATCTTGGCTTAGGTAACTGAACTAGCTACCCCTGGCTCGCTACAACAACTGAGGAGAGCATTCGCTCCCTAAAAGCCAGGGGGGACATTCGGCAGTGTTAGAAAAGAAACCCCCAACTGTTTTGGCCATCAGTCCGCCCACAGGGCCACCCCCGAGTCGACCCACAGGGAATCAGTGTGTGTACTGATTGTCTGTATAATGGATGTAGAATGTGTGTAGTGGATACAGAGTGCATGTGTAAAGTGGATGCGGTGTGTGTGTAATGGATGCAGTGTATATAGTGGATGCAGATTGTACATTTGTGTAATGTATGAGGTGTATATTAGATGCAGAGTGTGTGTTTGTGTAGTGGATATAGTGTTTGTATGTATTAGATGCGGTATGTATAGTGCATGCAGAGTGTGTGTTTGTGCAGTGGATGTAGTGTGTGTGTGTATAGTGAATGCAGAGTGTGTTTGTGTAGTGGATGTAGTGTTTGTGTGTATTAAATGTGGTATGTATAGTGCATGCAGAGTGTGTGTTTGTGCAGTGGATATAGTGTGTGTGTATAGTTAATGCAGAGTGTGTGTGTGTTTGTGTAGTGGATGTAGTGTTTGTGTGTATTAAATGTGGTATGTATAGTGCATGCAGAGTGTGTGTTTGTGCAGTGGATATAGTGTGTGTGTATAGCGAATGCAGAGTGTGTGTTTGTGTAGTGGATGTAGTATTTGTGTGTATTAGATGCAGTGTGTGTATAGTGATTGCAGAGTGTGTGTAGTTAATGCAGGGTGTGAGTTAGTGTAGTGAATGCAGAGTATTTGTTTGTGTAGTGGATGTAGTGTGTGTTAGTATAGTGAATGTAGAATGTGTGTTTGTGTAGTGGATGTAGTGTGTGTTAGTATAGTGAATGTAGAATGTGTGTTTGTGTAGTGGATGTAGTGTGTGTGCTTGTAGATGCATGCAGAGTGTGTGTGTGTATAGTGAATGCAGAGTGTGTATAATGAAGGCTGTGTGTATGTGTATTAGATGCAGTGTGTATAGTGAATGTGGAGTGTGTCTGATCACCCCAGGATTGTTTATAGGGGAGTAGAGAACTTGAAAGATAATTTAGTGTGTAATCATATTAAACAAACTAAATCTACACAAAGTATATTCAGTGAGTCTGCAGGTTTCTACGGATGCGGCACGTGTAGTGCCTGCAAAAATACTGGAAATAAAAAGAGAACAATTAAAAAATTCCATAATCCACAAAAAACAAAAGAGACATACAATATTAGGGAATTAATTACATGCTACTCAAAAAGAGTAATATACCTGATAGTATGTACCTGTGGGCTAGGATATATAGGAAGGACAGCAAGACCTCTCCAAGTTCATATTCAGGAGCATATAAGGAACATTAAAAATGGCTTTGAAAAACACAGTTTGTCTATGCACTTTAAACATCACCACAATCAGGATCCAAAACAGTTAAATTTTATTGGTATCCAGCTGGTTAAAACAAACTGGAGAGGGGACGATCTTATAAAAAAAATGGGACAGGTAGAGATGAAATGGATTTTTAACTTAAACACACTAATTCCAGGTGGTCTCAATAATGACTTTGAGATATGCCATTTTATCTAAAAATTACTCTCTATCTGTCCCTTTAAGAAATTATTCTTTTTACTTTTTTAAACTTTTAAATACTATTTTTTAATTAGAATTATTGGAAATTAACTACACACTTAGGGAAGTGATTTCATCCCTAGTACAAAAACTGGAAATGAATATGCACTTTTCTGCACATTGAGTATTGACGTTATTAAGAATGTTAATAATTTAAGTAATATAAGATTGCCTTTATATTAATTTTATATACATGTTTTATAAAATTTACAGAAACTGTAACAGAAACAAATTTAATTATTTTTTATACTACTTTTAATTGACTGATTAATTAAATCAATATAAAATGAATAGGGAAGAAATCCATTCTACAGTATATGTATTTACTATAGATACTGTTAAGAACAAGTATGAAACTGTATGAGAAGATACTATATACCAATGTGTGCTTTTTCCTTCCTCTTTTCTCTGTTTTATTCATTTTCTCTATTATGTGCTGAGCACAATTTAAAAGGGTGGAATATGTATGTATTTAACTTAGGGTGATGGGTGTCGGCAAACCAACCTGTTCTGCCACTTTTTTTTTTTGCTTGAGGGTATGTGCCCACAAGCAAGATGGCTGCGGTGAGAGTGGAAGTGATGCTGATCACCCTGATGAAAGGAAGGTGAGGAAATTGACCTCACAAGAAGCTAAATCCGGATTGGAGGATGGGATGGGAGGACCGCCCACTGGATAAAGAAAACGGCATATTTAAAAAGCAGCATGAAGACAATCAGGATACTGATTGAAAAAGCTTCCATAGTGTGGGTGAAACACGTCTCGGGACTGGAGCTAATTACTGGGACATTCTTTATCTTATATAGAAGCAAATGGACATTTTTATTTAATTCTATGTTTTTGTTTTTATATTTAAAGTTGCAATAAATGTATGTATTTTAAACCAAGTCCCATCAGCTTCTAACTTCATCTTGCTGCTAAAGAAGGGCAGATGCCCCCCTCTATAGGTACCTAGGTCTATAATCCAGAGCCAGGTTCTCATTGGCTCACGAAAAGGTGATCACAACCATAACCACTGTGTTTTTTATTTTTGTTGAAACTTAATACGCTAGGAAGTCTCCCTTTCTCTCTCCTTTGAGGAAATCCATTACAGGCAAAAGGGTGTAGTGTCTCCATACGACACTACTGTGCAAGTGATTTGAGCCTGTCCCTTTTGAGGCTCTGATCAATGTGAGTTTGACTGCTTGAATTATCACCAAAATACATTATCACCTGTGGATTTACACTATATTGTGTTTTATTTTTTGTTTTCTTTATATGTACTGATATACATCTGAGATTTAACCCTATTTTAGGGTAAGTTTATACCTTTAGCGCTCCACTCATTTGATTAGTAGAGTCTGGACATTATATCCAGTTTGTACTAAGCTCACTTTGGTTCATTACTATAATTAGTGGGGATAAGAGAGTATCCACTAGTGTGTGAAGCTGCTTATTTTTAACTCGCTTACATTTGTAAGCGCACTATACACAGTAATCACCAATCTGAATTTGGAGTGTGTGTTTGTGTAGTGGATGTAGTGTGTGTATAGTGAATGCAGAGTGTGTTTGTGTAGTGGATGTAGTGTGTGTGTGTGTATAGTGAATGCAGAGTGTGTGTTTGTGTAGTGGATGTAGTGTTTATGTGTATAAATGCTGTGTAAAGTGAATGCAGAGTGTGTGTTTGTGTAGTGGATGTAGTGTTTATGTGTATAAATGCTGTGTAAAGTGAATGCAGAGTTTGTGTTTGTGCAGTGGATGTAGTGTTTATGTGTATAAATGCTGTGTAAAGTGAATGCACAGTGTGTGTTTGTGCAGTGGATGTAGTGTTTATGTGTATAAATGCTGTGTAAAGTGAATGCAGAGTGTGTGTTTGTGTAGTGGATGTAGTGTTTGTGTGTATTAGATGTGGTGTATGTGTATAAATGCTGTGTAAAGTAAATGCAGAGTGTGTGTTTGTGCAGTGGATGTAGTGTTTATGTGTATAAATGCTGTGTAAAGTGAATGCAGAGTGTGTGTTTGTGTAGTGGATGTAGTGTTTGTGTGTATTAGATGTGGTGTATGTGTATAAACGTTGTGTAAAGTGAATGCAGAGTGTGTGTAGTTAATGCAGAATGTTTGTGTAGTGGATGTAGAGTGTGTGTATAGTGAATGCAAAGTGTGAATAGTAAAGGCTGTGTGTGTGTATTAGATGCAGTGTGTATAGTGAATGTGGGTGTGCGTTTGTGTAGTGGATGCAGGGTGTGCGTTTGTGTAGTGAAGGCTGTGTGTGTTTGAGTAATGGATGTAGTGTGTGTGTATACTGAAGGCTGTGTGTGTGTATTAGATGTGGTATGTATAGTGCATGCAGAGTGTTTGTGCAGTGGATGTAGTGTGTATAGTGAATGCAGAGTGTTTGTGTAGTATTAAATGCTGTGTAA